ATCCTGTTGATTTTGTTATTCTTGATATACATGAGGATGTGGATGTGCCTTTGATTCTAGGTAGACCATTTCTTGCCACCGCCAAGGCACTTATTAATGTGCATGATGGTAAACTGATCCTGCGTGCTGGGACTGAACAGGCTACTTTTTCTGTGACTGAATTCGATCACTGTGCTATGATTGCTGTCACACCTGTGCATGCCATTTCTGATCAGGTACACGAGCCTGTCGTGTATCCTTCTGCACCTCTCATTTTGCAGGACCCTCCTATCACTCCTTTGCCGCCACTCCAACCAGCCTCGCCTCCGAACAAAAAGATCAAGGAGGAGTGGCGGCCGAAGCAGCAAGTTGCTAAGCCTGCACGGAAGAAGGGTGGAGACCACTATGAGCTGGCCTCACCTCCTCCACCACGACCACCCTGGCCGTCCGGGTACTCACTCGCCTGCATCTTGCCAGATGGCCAGGTCGAGCTGACCGATAATGGTGGCCGCATCCGTCGGGTGCATGGCCACAACCTGAAGCTGTACCTCAAGAGCGACGTGGATCCGCTCTTGGAGGCACCTGTTCCTTCACCTCCCTGAGTATCCACCATGGGCGTCCAGCTAAAAGACGGTAAAGAAGCGCTTGTGGGGAGGCAACCCCACCACGATTTGACTTTCTTTCTTGTGTTTTGAGTCGGATTGTAAACCGGTTTGGTTTTGGGTTGTTTTCTTTTGTTTTGGATAATGTATTATTGGGCTGACCATTGGACCTAATATATTGTGCTTGAGCTCTTTGGTTTCCTTTGGCTGTGCTTGTCTTGACTGATCCTCTCTCCAGTCCGCTTCACTCCGACTGGTCCGCTTCCAGCCTCCTGCAGTCCGTGCATACCGGTAACATCATTCCCCTTTTACTTCCCTCTTCTCCATTGAGGGCAATGTCGATCTTAAGTGTGGGGGGATGTTTATCTTTTGACTGCATTAGAGATGTTTGTGTGCTTGGAGCCTAGTCCACTGTCCAAATTTTAAAATTTGAGGGCTCCAAGTACGTGTTCCTTGCAATTGCCTGCTCAGTATGCTTTGAATTGACAGTCTTTATAGTAATATGCAACCTAGGGAGGTAGTGTAGCACTATGGAGGATGTTGATGCATTTAAGAAGTCTCATTGCTTCTTCATATTGTGTTGGTTGATTGAGTGAATTAGTGATCTTAGGACCCTTGAATTGTGTGGTGTTGTGGATTCTCTACCTGTCATGGACTCTTGTATCATGTTTTGAAAATCACAGGTGCTCGAAAATGTGCTTTAAAATAAGGTCTCCCTTGCGAATATGGCGAAAGTGTGTAAGGGGATACGGGAATTCGTTCCCAAATTTCCACCTACTACCTCCAGCCCCCTTACATTTCTTTCCCCCGCACGAGGCTCGAGACATCCGCTCCTGGCATGGCCGGTAAGAGCTGGGCTCCAGCAAAACCTCTGCTAGGTGGGAGCCCCCATTTTCTGAAAAGCAGGTTGGGACCCTTGAAAAAAAAAGAGAAAAAAAAATAACAGAAAACAAGCAAAACAGAAAGAAAAGGGGTTCCAACCATCTTCAAGAAGAAAATAGAGCACCTTGAAAAATGTGAGTCCATGATCCTTTGTTTTTGAGAATCTCTTCATCCACGATTCATTTGTCCTCTGTTCACTATTTGCCATGATGCCGACTCGAGACTAGCGTTCTCGCCGAAGAAGCTATGAGATGACTTGTGCGTTAGTTGACCTCGTAAGCTGCTAAATGATCTAGGAAATCCTCTACCTATGATCGGGGTTGTTGGTTGCTATAGAGGTCTGGAGAGTTGCATTGGTTTGAGTTAGGTTTGCTTGGGGACAAGCAAACGGTTAAGTGTGGGGGAGTTTGATAGACCAATAATTACACTTGTTTTTACCCCTATTCTTGAGCCGTTTGAGAGGTTGACTCTCGAGTTTTAAGACGATTTCACGCGAGGTTGTGTGTTTATGTCGTATTTCAGGACCCGACGTTGGAATCGAGGCGAAGGAACGAGATTCGGGTCGAAAGGAGCAAGTGAGTCTTGAAGTGTGCTGAAGGAAGAGAATACCCGGCCATGACCAAAAATACCCGGCCGGGTATTATTCTGAGGAGGCCGGGTATTTTCTGTTTTGGCGTCTGAGAAACAGAGAGGGTCCCGGGCTGGAGGCACAAAATCCCCGACCGGGGATTATTGGATGAGACCGGGTATTTAAGCCCTTGGCAAAACGTGCGTTTCAACTATACCCGGTCGAGACCCAAAATACCCGACCGGGTATTTCGACCGGGTATCGCGACAGGCAGCTGTTTTAAGGGAAAAGAAGGCTGAAAATCAAGGGATTCGAGTTTTAGAGAGACAGAGCGATTCCTAGAGAGAGAAAGCGACGAACAAGAGTCTCCAAGTGCCCTAGCTTGATCTTCATCACCATTGGAGCTTGGCTTGAGCTTGGAGGAGTGCCAATCAACGTCCAGGAGCAGGAATCCATCCTTCACAGTATGAATTCCGCGTCTGATTCTGCTTTTGCTTCTTTCTCCATGGAGTAGTTCTCCCATTCATCTGGGTATGGAGAACCCTAGATTTGTATGTTAGGTTGATTGTATGAACCCAAGTACTGATTCTATGATTTGATTATATTCAATTGAGGTTTGAATGATTGAATGGCATGAATCCTGATCAAATTCCTGTTGTTTCTGCTTTAACCTAGAATGAGAATATTTGCCTAGGTTGATTAAGCATCCTTGATTGAAGGTAGGGAGTTGGTGACTTTAGTCGAGGAGCCAACTCACTATTCTTTACCGAATTCACTTCGGTAGTGGAGGTTTTGTTGTTAGGGCCTCAATCTGTTTACTCCGGTGGAGGTTAGTCGCCCGCTAGAGACTCAGATTGAGAGGGTCTGAAGACCTTTAGTCGAGACTTCAGGCTGTTTAAGAACCTTCCGCAGTATAACTATCATAGAAACTGAACTTAGTGATTACAATCCGGCTTAACTGCAGTCTAGGGGGAACCATATCCGGGTGACCTCTCTTAACCTGAAAACAACCGTTTACTTGCTTTCTTTGTTTGTTAGTTTAGACTTGCATTAAAGTTTCATTGCTAGATAACAAGAATTCACCGAGTAGTCATCAAATCTAGGACCCGGGTTGACATTAAAACCCAAACCCGCTATACTACGCTTTAGGAAGTGGTTACACTTGGCCAATTTCTAGAGTGACAGTAGGAGTGAGTCAATTATCATTTATTAATATATTAACATCATAATCCAAATTAGTTAATAACCCAATCCACTTATGGTAGTTATCAAACACGTATGGAATATAATTTATTATTATATTATTTTGACCACAGTTGGTTGAGGGCATTAGGGTTTGATTTAATTAGGGTTTGACACAAATTATGGTTTGACTTAATTAGGGTTTGACTTAATAATATATTATTTTGACCACAGTTGGTTGAGGGAATTAGGGTTTGACCCGAATTAGGGTTTGACTTTATTAGGGTTTGAACACAATTGAAATAATCTCACCCAAGATGACGGATATTAACAATAAGAATCAACTCGACTCAAATGGACCAATAATGACAATAAAGAAGGAAAGCATCTCATCCACCTCATATACCTTATACTCCTCCGAAACTCTAAACCCTCATTCCCCTTGAATAGCTACCTTCAACCTCGATCCATCCAATCCTACTATGAAATTACTTTAGAGGCAAAATCATCTTTGGCTCCACTAACAATAATATTTCGCCTCGTGGAAATATACGTGATAGGCTCAAGAAACTCCTAGTTACCACCCCCAGAGCCCTAAAAACACCTTGATGAAAGTTTTGGCACTATTCATCTCTTTTTGTCAGGAATGTCCGATTAATAAACAATCGATTCCAACACATTTGTATCCACATTTTAAGAGATCGGTGAAAGTTTCAATAATTTTTCATGTCGGTGACTCTAGTAATTGCTAAAAGATGTTTTTGCCCGACCTTCCCTGAGCCGCAAAGAGTCCTCTTCGTTCCTCGATTCCTTGGAAGTTTTATAAAACATAGTTTAGGGATGATGATCTAATTAAATATGAAATAAGTACTATTAAAAAGGTTTAATCAAAATTAATAAATATTTTATAACTATTCTACATAATTAAAATGAATTATTCATAAGTTTATACAATATTTATGATAATTTATGATTAAATATCCATTCTCTTATACACTAATTCAGATAATTTGTAATGATTTAACATACAATAATTATTTAATTGCTATTATACTTAATTTATTTATTTTAGCTCTATTTACATAATTAAAAAATAAGTATGAATTAGTTTGTACAATATTTTTTATAATTTAATTTTTTTTCTTATGAATAATTTTTATTGTTCTAATTCATAAATATAATTAATAAACATACATATAATTATTAACATGATATAATAAATAAAAGAACAGAAAATTGAGTTAAATAATTATTATCATTTAGCGACGAGCTTTTGTGACGGTTTTGAAACCGTCGCTAGATGCACGGTCCGCTCACCGAGATCGGACGGGGTCTGGCGGTGCTGGCGGCGGTGGTGGAGTGGCGTCGGTTGCGGCAAGAGTGGCGGGGCCGGCGGTGGTCCATTGTCGGCGGCAGTGGTGATCGCTGGTATTGTGGTGGAATGGGGGTTTGTGTTATAAAAAATAAACAAAGGATAAAAATGTCATTTTAGTTTAATTTACGAGCGACAAGTAGTAAAAACACAGACGGCAAATATTACGCCTCTTATTAATTTATTATAAGGGTTCGTTGCTAATACACCGACAAAAAAATCATTAGGCCTTTGATAGATAAGAATTGGGCTTTCAGCTATGGGCCTACCAAAGAAAAGGCAAAAAAATAACAGGCGGAATCTGCTGCTGCGTGACCATTTTAAAAAAAGCCACCCGCAAAGCGCCTTTTTTTCTTCAACGCCAGGAAAGAACAAAACGCGGCACAAAGTTAAAAGCCAGCGTCCATTCCGTTCCGTCCCGCAATTTTCTTCCTTTCCTTCCTCCCAAATTCTCCGTCAGCTAAAAGTCAAAAAACACCGATTTCTTCCCCCCTAAACCCCGCCACCGCCGTCGCCGTCCGAATTCTCCACCGCCATGTCATCCCCACAGAAGCGACCGGAATCCGACCTCCCAATCCCATCCCTCCCTTCCCTCCGCACCCGCTCCACCCCATCCCCTCGTAGCAGCAGCTTCTCCTCTTCCCACTCCACCGCCACCCCGACCTCCGGCGCCCAGCGCCGCATTGCGATCGCCGTCGATCTCAGCGACGAGAGCGCCTACGCTGTCAACTGGGCCGTCCAGAACTACCTACGACCAGGGGACGCTGTCATCCTCCTCCACGTCCGCCCCACGTCCGTCCTCTATGGCGCCGATTGGGGTTCCATCAAGGTTCAGATAAACACCAACGGCAGCAATAGTCAGAAGAGCGGCGACCAAGATTCGTCCTCCAATCAGCAGAAGCTGGAGGACGATTTCGACAATTTCACCACCACCAAGGCCAGCGCCCTGGCGCAGCCCCTGGTGGACGCCGGGATTCCGTTCAAGATTCACATAGTCAAAGACCACGATATGAAGGAGAGGCTTTGCCTGGAGGTGGAGCGGCTGGGGTTGAGCGCCGTGATTATGGGGAGCCGAGGGTTTGGGGCGGCGAGGAGGAACAGTAAAGGTAGGCTGGGGAGTGTGAGTGATTACTGTGTGCATCACTGCATTTGCCCCGTCGTGGTGGTGCGTTATCCGGATGATAAGGAAGGTGGGATCGAAGAAGGGAGTTCGAAGAAAGGGATTGCTTTGGTAGATGAGTGCGAGCTCCATCCTGTGCCGGAGGAGCAGGAAGAGTTTCACGATGGTTCTGATGAACACAAAGGTTTGAATTTGCTTCCTTCTCAAATGATTTGGATTATATTTGAATCCCAATCTTGCTGAGTTATTTCTTCTTGTTGATGTTTGTATATGAATTTGGGAGATTGTTTGATTGATTCATGGTGTTTGAGCTTTGCTTTGATTAGTGACCAAAGAATGAATCATTTCGTGGGGCTTAGGTTAGTTGACGGGATGAGGATAAGACTCTATTAGGGTAATCTTTGTTGAAGTTAGTGGTAATGATTTCTATCTTGGATTCTCATGAATGGTCATGTGGAAGTGCATAGAAATGTTATTAAAGATTCATTGGACATGTTCCATAGTAGGTTAACTGCTTAGCATTCAAGCAAGGAATCAAGGATTCTGGTGTAAAATAGAAACTGCAGTACATATGCCCACCACCTGTCTTTCAGATTTGAGCAAAGATAAATTATGGAGCAATTGAACTGCTCTTATTCTGTTGGTTATATTAGTAATAGGTGATTGTACAACTAGTGATCTTGAAGGGAATCAGGAACTCAAATTCTGTTTTATGGTAGATGAAAAGTTGATTCAGTCGCGAAATTATTCATGGTTTGGATGGCTTGGTTTAGTCTCCTTTGATTGTACAGTGATGTACTGGTGATAAACCTTGCTGTGTAAAATTCGAGTGAGGAGTTTTGGTTATCCTCTCAACAACTCTTCTCCTTCAAGCTTTTGCCAAGTATTTGCTAGAGCGACTTATAGCAGTGGCCAAACTTGGTTGTTATACATGTACGAACCCCGACAAAATGACGTGCCAGTAATTATAAGTTCCTTTGTGCTTTGCGTGTTTATATATGTTCGCTCCCTTGGAGCATTTCATTTGAGCACATACAGTGTGGAACAAAGATGACCTCTGTAGGAGAAATTCTTTGTATAACTCAGCTTGCTGCATCAGTGTAACCTTGGTCAAGATTGGCTCTACATCATATTTGTTTCTACGTTGTAATTCCTGATGCTTCATCTTGTGCAGATGCTTAAGGAACAAGATGAAGTTCATTCTCCATCAGGTAATATATAGTTCGACCACTGTTGGCAATCTTTTGCAGGTTATTTTCCATTTAGACTAAGCGGTAGGGTCTTTTGTTCGAATAACTTCGACGAGTTTCCCAGTATTAAGAGTCGTTGGTGTATCTGCAGGAGACTGTTTGAGGCTGTCATCCCTTTTTCTCAGCTTGGTGTGACATGAGAGGGTTGGACTGTTTTTCCTCCCCCATTGTATATAATCTATGCGACTGCTGGTGTTGAGATTTCTTCTGGTTCTTCCCGTGTAATGAATGACCTGAACTAGAGGTCTTTGGTTTCAGAGTCCGAATTGTATGTGGACAGTTAAAACCCATCTTGATTCTTGACCACAGATTCTACAGTTGTTGTTGTTGTTTCCCTGTCACCAGTTTTACTTTACCAATGACAGCCAAGACTGCGATTTGTCATTTGTTCAAAACTTGTGTCTTATCACTACAATTTGTCAGTTTGCTTCATGTTCCATCACTGAACATCACGAATCTATCGGTTCAAATATCAAATCCAGGACAGGTGAGAGAGAGATTACATTTTTTTTTTTTTGTTTATTTATATAAGGGTGATACCAACTCATTCATAAAGAAAATAAAACATGAAAGTAGAAAGGAAAACAAGCAATTTCAAATGGGTCTACAAGCGAAGACTAGAACAGAACAGAGAAGGCAGCAGCAAAGCTGCCAAGGTAAAGCTTGACGGTTTACTTCTGTTTGAGAGGAATGACGCCATAGATTTGTTCAAACGATGGGATCTGCAGATGGAATCTCAATCAAATGCGGTTAATCTGCAGATGGAGACTGCTACGTCGGGGTAAAACTGGCAGGCATTCCTTCGTCCGGATGGAGAGATAGAAATATACGTTTCGCACTGTAATCAGACGAAAAATCAGAGATGAGGAATGCAAAGTAAAACATTTATAAGTAGCAGAAGCATGCATGCATATAATACACAATACAAGATGAACACCCAGCTTGTTGCCGCGTTGGTTGTGAAGGAAATCCGGCAGGGGCGACCTGAGAACACATGATGATAGATTGGATCCTGGAAACCTATCCCACCAGCCACATGCGATCTCAGGTCGACCCTGTAAGAACCCTCCACACACACAGATTTTATCTTGCAGACGATTTTGAGGTCTGACAACACAATGTGTGAGTTTGATGTTATATATAACAAGGAGAAGAAATCTCCGCTCCATCAAGTGATGTACTATGGTTGTAAATTAGAAAGAAGTACTATTTTCCAATCCCTCTTATTGTTGGATCTGTACTACAACCACCGGCCAAGTTTTGTACGTTCTTCCCGCTTCACATCCATAGTTGCACACCATTCTGTACTACTTGCTTGCAGTTGCAGTACACCTTTATGGTTGCGGTGATTTACTCTTAGATTCAAAATGTGATCAAATCACCGGAACTTACTCCGAAAAAGGAGAGATCCAAATGCACAAAAGGTTCTTTGGAATTAGGATCAAAGAGAAGCTACCAAGTTGAAATGAATAGTTCATCATGTTTGATCACTTGTGCACAAGAAGCTCACAGCCGCGGAGGGAAACCAGAAGAAACTGAATTGATTCGATAACTTTGGACACAAACCAGTTCTTCAGCAGCACACTTCTTCATCTGTTGACTGCTTCTGCGGCTGTCACCACTCACCACCCATCATTTTCCCGCTTCTCCTTGCTCATTCAATATTCTGAACAATACCACAAAATATAGCATGACACAACTACACCAAACAATATTCAAATACACTGGGAACGACGCAGGGAAATGCTAGCAAAAACGCCTGCAAAGAAAAAAGCATGCAACATAAAGTGGAGGAATCTCTACAAAAGCACAAACAACTTTATTAGAAGAACACAAGCAAACATTATTCCAAAGGAAACAATCTCCCCAGTGTCAAACTTCATATCACTGGGCTCTAGGGATGGGTATCAAATGATAAACAGCCCTCTCCGCCAAAGGAGGGCAACAAGCAAGCAATTGAAAGTTCAAACATGATAAACACCCACACAATGTTTCTTTTCCAATAAACAAACAAACAAACTCAGCATCTCACGCCAGAGGTCCCATATTTCCTTCACTTCTGCTCCTGCGCATCGCCAGCTCAGCTCTGAATTCAACAAGCCTGCTACCAAGATCCACAGGTTGTTGCTGCTGCTGTCGGCTATGGGTGCTCAGTCTACTGGTCCCGCTAGGCGGGAGCTTCGAGTGCTTCCCCTTCGGCCTCCTTGGTGAGGATGTACTGCTACGACCATGAGTAGATGACGATAATGCTCTGGACCCGGTCAAACCGTGGCTACCCTTCCTCGCACCTTTGTTATCCGACCTCAGCCCACTGCTAATCCCAAGCCTCACCGACCGATCAGCAGTAGAATCCTTCAACGCCCCTGCTTTGATCGCCTGCCTGTTGAAGTAGACCAGATGCGGCAGTAGGCCCCGAAGGTGCTTCTTGAGCTGTTCATCTCCGACGTTCTTCTGAGCTGGATTTCCTTCCAGGCTTATTGCTTGCAGGGAGTTGTAGTTGGCAGCCAGCTGGCCAAGACACTTGGTTGTGGAGAGCTTGTTGAAACGAAGATCAAGCACTGTGAGTTTTAGCAGGCGGTGAAGGCCTTCCACCTCACTTATTTTGTTGCCCGCCAAGTACAGCTCCTTCAATGACGAGCAAGAAGCAAGGCCTTTGGCAAAGAAACAGAGAAAGCAAACCGTCACAGATATTAACTATCAGACAGTTTTAGACATGAAAAGTGAGCATGTAAACAGTGGTGGAAATTATCAAATGTAAATTCCCTAATTCACCTCTTTCATTTAAGAGCTTAGTACCCAAACTTCTAAAGCTTTACCACCATTAGACCTAACAGATCACAAAAATACCTCCCAGCCATATAAAATGTTCAAGACAGTGTCATTGATCCCCACAAACCCTTTTAAACTCGACTTGCAAACCCGTTTGCCACTCTACGCGTAAACATAAAAGCTGTTGGTGGCTTACCATGTCCAATCCTGAATATCCGGTTGTAGCTCAAGTCCAGAACACGAAGTCGAGTGAGTTCCCTTAAACCCTCGATAGTGGATATGCTGTTTTTCGCCAGATTCAACATGTGGAGCCCACGAGGAAGGGCGCCAGCAGTTATTCGAGCTGTAAAAGGGTTCATAAAACACACCACATTCAGGAAAAATTCTCCAACATGTAAGATGTACCAAAATACCACTGTGAGGAGCACTGACCTATTGAGTTTCCAGATAGATTAAGCACTCTCAGACCACCAAATGCACTGAGAGATGGAATGACTGCTAGCCCATGGTTGGAAAGCTGAGCAGTGGTAGTCGTGGGACTCAAAGCAGATATGTATCTCTTTGCAGCTTCCATGCCAGGACTCATTTTATCATCCACCTTCGCAGCAGCCGTCAGTCTACCCAAAACCGTTGAATTTTCTCCACCGACCGGTTCATCAGCTTCAGCCAGCAATACACTTGTTTCTTCCACTGGACCGCAGGAATGAAGATCATTGACCCATGCCTCAATACGCCTGAATCTAAAATCCTCATTTGGAAATTCACCCGGTTGCTGCACGGAGAAGTCTCGGTCAAGGTGTTCTGGTAAATTCTCCTCCTCGGGCATTACCCAGTCTTTTGCCAGAGAAGTGTAATCATAAGATTCATAACCATCATCAGGAGGGTTTTCAAAATCGTTTCTTTCATTTCCACACATGTTAGCATCTCTTTCCTTTTCCAACATTGACTGCATTCCAACTTCATGAACTGAAGGAAGTTCTTTCCATCCCATATCTAACCCGCGTAGGTCATTACTAGATTTTGATTTTCTTAATAAGTATCTGAAGTGTGAACCAGAGGCAGAACTCAAGTTTGGAAATGAACATGACCTGTCAAGCACAATAGGCCTCTGAGGAGTAGGAAGGCCAGAATTATCAGCACCATCTACAGATAACTGAATGTCGGAATTTTCAGTAATCTCTTTGTCCGAACGATGAGAATATCCTCCACTTGAGAATGCTGATCCATTGTTGACAGTTTCAGAACCCACTTGAACAGATTCAGATACAGGGGCCTTTCCATATTGACTACTCGGGCTTACACCTCGTTCCTTGTGATCAGGGGAACCACTAGAACATCCGTGGTCTGTCTCTTCTTCTTCTGTGTCATTGTTGTAGATAACCCTACCTTCATGGCATAATTCACTTCCCAGAGACTTACTTTTCTTCAGAGGTGTTGTCCGAGTAATTCCAGCTTCAGCTTCATGTCCGAATGTTGGGTCAATTACCCCTGAGTTCATGATTTCCTTAGTAGAATAATGAATATGATTATCTGTTTTCGACCTCAGAAATACTGGATTCAAGCTAGTAGCGTGAGTTGACTCCGTGTTCACAGCTGGCATCTTGGAAGAATCTTGCAACATCTTCAGCATTGATTCCATCGAATGTTCAACAGTTCTCTGAGTGAGAAAAAGGAAATCTAATATAAGTAAATGATATGGGTGGAATCTCAAAACTGCTATGGAAACCAACTCCAAATTCCCTACGTTCACTATTTCCACATACTTACCTTCGATTTGTGGGATGGAGTAATATGACCGTTGAAGCACGAGAACCTAACCATTGCAACAGCAAAGCGAGAAAGAGCTCTACATCCACAACCCGCGCGCTTGCACTACTACACTAGCGCTAAAAACAGAATTCTATATGGAGATCACATCTAGAAAGCCTGAATTTGTAAATCTAATGCAAATTGGACTCTAAACGATATGTATTATTGGTCTAGCAAGTGGAGATGTTAGCCATAATCAAGAGACAAGCCCTCTGAAACACGGCAGAGCCTCCAAACATGGGATGATCTTGATCTCCTCAAAACACACAGCAGAATCACTTCCTTGCAATCACCCCACGCCCACTTTGAGGTGGGAGAAGACTTCAACTTTGTTGCGGCGGCCAGAGTGAACCAAAATCTTTGCTCACTAGGAATATCCAGTCCTCAATATACATATGACACGATGGCCTGAATCAATAAAACCAACAAAGGAAAAGATTCCAAAATCAACCCTCAGCTCAGTTCAACCATCAGATAATCAAAATCCAGGCAGGAATGGCACAGGTTCACCATTGACCAACAAAAATGGCATTTCAAATAGTCAATCCAGTAGTAAATGAGAATGAAAAACAAAAAATGGAGTGAAACCCAAGGAACAGTAGAGTTTCCCCAACAACCTTTGCGATCCAAACAACAAATCAACCAATCAGAGCAAAAGAATGGCTTCCAAAATGGGCCCAATATAAGCATATCTCATGTTATCAAATCGTCCCACCAATTCAATCTTGCATCCAAAACAACCCAGAAGTCTTTATGAAACAAATGCAAAGCAGAGCCAAAAATTAGAAGGATTGAAGGAACAAAGAGTCCAAAGTTCCCATTACATGGGAGAAACTTAATCTGATTATCAAAAAAAAAAATTGAGAAACTTAATCAAACTACATAAGCGAACAAACAGGAAGATTCAGACGCAGATACGAATCGGGAACGAAAGAGTTCTATCTACCTTTCCTTAGCCAGATTGTGACGAAATCTCAACGCAGCGCGTAAAGTCTCAGCCTTCTCGCCTCCTTCCGCTGTTTCTTCTTACCCTGGAAAAGCTGTGGTGGCTGAGACGGGATCCGGAACATATGAAAAAAGGAAAAGCCAACAATAACGACAATTAAACACCTAACGGCGAGAGGAGGAGGAACGGGAAGAAGACAAACAAACCCTAATACGAAGAGGAGCTTCCTGTCTGTCCGGTGGTGGGGATTGATCAATGGGTAGCCTCAAAAGATACAAACCGACCACAGCTCAGCTGCGAAATTTCAATGGCTGAGATTATTTAAGTAGGGGGTGGGGAGGAGTAAACAGGATCCCAATTATTTAATTGGAAATCAAGAGCAGGCAAATCCAAAAAGAAGGAAGAATTGGATTCTTGGGTTTGCGATTGGGAATTTATGCAAATTAGCATTACTACTAACCAATCATTAAGATGAACGGATTCTCCCGGGATTTCTGTTTCTGTGTTTTCTCGTTTTCAATTCGGGTTTGAACGAAACGGAAAGAAAACCCTAGTGAGAAGAGAAGGTGCAAAAAAAAGGAGGGAATTGGTGCGGGGAAAGGATGGTAGGCAGGAAATTGGATAACCACCACCTTCTTTTGCCCTTTTCGCTCGATTTTCCTTTCAGCTGAGCTGGTTTTGCTTCTGCGAGCGGCCACAAAAATTCAAGGCGCAGCAGCTTCTAGGTATTTTGTATTTCTTTGACAAACAAATCAAAACTACACAAGAAAAGTAATAAACAATGCGTATATTGTATTTTTGTCAAAAAAAAAATACATAAGTTATTTTATTGATATGTGAGATTGCTAAAAAAAAGCATGGTCCATGAAATCGTATAGGAGACCGTATCGGAAAAGTCAGCGGTAGGGTATTTTACGGCAAAACCGTGGTTGAACCGTAGTTCAACCATTAATACCGTTAAATAATGCCTATTGGTTTAGCCTCCGATACTGGTATTTTGTGGTTGAACCGCCGATACGATACGGTTTAATGGACCATGAAAAAAGTGACTTTAGGTCTGAAAGTAAGTTCGAGATAATCTATAAGAATTGTTATACTACTAGATAAACAATTTTTTATTTTTAAAAATACAAAATTAGAGTGTTAAGATTGAAATTGAAAACAAATTTAGAAAACTAGTGTTTTGCTAGACCTGACAAATTATAACCCGACTCGTTGACCAGACCCGAAACCGCCCGAAAACTAGAAATTTTTGTAACCCGAAATCTAAATGACCCGAACCCGCTAACCCGTAATTTTTTGGGTCGGATTGGGTGGGTTATCGGGTCGACCCGTTAGACTCGTTCCATTTTATATATCACTCCCAAAATATGATAAAATCACTCATAAATTTGTGAGATGTTTAAAAAAATCACAAGGATTTGAATGACATGTTTGGAGTTTAAGGATAATCAAATATCATGTGTTTCTTGTAGTAGTATTACTCTTGTGATTGTTTTTTGACAATTTGCGCTATTTATATTTCATTTCATTAGCGTGGGAGGATTTGGGAATATGTTAGGTAAACTATTGTCATGCATATGTGAAAATTTGTGTTCTTTAAGAAAATATGAAGTATGTTTGATATTGTTTCTGAGAACGCTCATAACCGAAATGACCTGTAACCCGACCCAAAATCGAATGGGTTGGGTCAATATTTCACCCGAAATCAGCCAACCAAACATGACTCGACCCTTAGCCGAAGTCCCCAACCCGACCCGATTGCCAGGTATTTTGCCGCCCGTTGGCCGGATAAATTACAACAATAGTATAAACACTAATATTAATTATACGAATAATTTATTTGGTACCATGAAAGAAACTAAATTATTCAATTACTAAAAATATTCAAAAAAAAAACCATATAAATTAAAAGTTTTACAACATCTTAATCATTCATGGACAAACGTCCTTATCAAAAGTAAACAACACAACTCATGCAGGTAAACGATTCCTAAAAAAACTTAATATTCAAAACGTACTTTAATTTACTCATTGCCAAGGTTGTCAACCCGCGGGTTGACCCGGACCCGGACGAGCTAGTGGGTCAAGGGTTAATGGGTCACCCGTTTTAGCCCGCTTTAGCCCGGAAATATGTAAAGAGCCATTATATTGTACTTATCCTGATAAATTATATCCAATCTCATCTAACATATGAGTAATAACATATAACATTACACCATAATAACATAAAAATGACACAATTTAATCTCCAACCCGGTACCTTATAGCGATCGACCCGGCGGGTATCTGCGGCCCATTTTTCTCACCGGGCCAGGGTCAAAGTGGGTCGGTCGACCCGCGGGTTGACAACTGCTATTAGAAAAAGTTGCAAAAAAAAAAAAATTGGATTCCTTTTTTATCGCTTTGCTCACACAACTTCAGCTTTCATTAATGAAACTTTAGGGGTCGATTGGAAGTCGAGATTCTTCAAATGTGTGTATTTGAATAATACATGTAGGCCTCGTTTGGAACCTTTGATTCCAGACGTTGTATTCTCAATATACAGGTATCCGGTAGAATACAACGTTTTTTTACTTGATGTAATAACAGAATGCATGTATTCATAATCCATGTTGTATTCCTAATACATAGAAACTGGGTAAATGTCACATTTGGTCACTGAGATTACTAAATCGTATCATGTTTAATCACTAGAAAAATTTAATATCAATTTTGGTCACTCAAATTATTGGAACATGTCACATTTAGTCACTTACGGAGTTGGACGGAAACTAACGGGAGAGTGACTAAATGTGACTTGTTTCGGTAATTCGAGTGACTAAATGTGACATGTTTCCAGTAATTTGAGTGACTGGAGTTGAACGTAGGCTAACGGGAGAGTGACTAAATGTGACATGTTTCAATAATTCGAGTGACCAAAATTGATATTAAATTTTTATACTGATTAAACATGACACGATTCAGTAATCTTAGTGACCAAATGTGGCATTTACCCCATAGAAAATTATGTATAGTGAATCTTACCTTTTTTGTGAGATTTTAGCATGATCCCTGAAATCGTACCAGATATCGTATCGGAAAAGTCAGCGGTATGATATTTTATGATAAAATCATGGTTTAACCGTAGTTCAACCGTTAGACCGTTAAATACCGCCTATCGGTTCAGCCTCCAATACTGGTACTTCGTGGTTGAACCGCCGGTACGGTATGGTTTCATGGACCATGGATTTTAGTATCCATAGTTCATTTAAACTATAATCCATGCATTCTCTTATGGTTTCCAAACAATGAATTTTCAAAACCACACATTCTTAGCATACACATAATCTTTAATACACACATTCTCGTAATACATCATTTCCAGAATCAAAGGTTCCAAATGATCCCGTATTATAAATACAAAGATTGTAAGAATTAGATGATTGGAAGAATGTCTTGTTTGTTTGTAGCCATTCAGAAAAATAAAAATTTAAAAAAACACTTCATGAGCTAAAAGTGAAACAAATTAAAGCTCACAATCCTTTAAAATGAGTGATTGTGAGTGATATGAGATTTGAGGGCCCACCTCAAATGCATGTATTAAATAAATTTTGTAACAAAAAAAGATGAATTCTCCAGAATACATGAAAATGTGAGACAACTTTACACGATACTAGAATTTCGCCTAATATAAATCATAAATATTATCAGTCATTCGCTCTTTCCTCCCACCACAATATTTCTATATCAACCATCAATAATATTTTTCTTTATCCAATAGCGTCATTATCTCCATCACTGAATTCACTACCTCTGATATTATATACTTTTCCTTCTTCTCATGCATTTCAATAAATGCAAAATTTTAATGGCAAAATTTTTTGGATGTGAAAACTTCGTTTTCAAGAACTTAAATTTACCCAGTACAACCAAAGGTAAGATAGCCTAACGGTAAAGCTGCCTCAACAATGAAAGCTTGTGAGTTGCAGATCCCACGTTTGATCCAAGTAAGGCCCATTGGTGTTCCCGGAGGTATGAGACTGATTGGGCAAAGCCTTGTTGGCTAGAATTGATTGCAGGTGGCCCCCACATTTAGTAAGCCCCACTATTACAAAGTAGCACGTGGGCTGAGGTTCCTATGTAATAAAAAAAAATTTACCCAGTACATGTCATGAACTTTAAATGAGATTGCTCATCTTCATCCTACATTATCTTCAAAACTGTGCACCCACTTATGGGGTTCGCGGTGTTGTAATCGGTGAGCTTCATATGAAATTTAAACTTTATGCTCCCTGTTTGTATGAGATGAGGAGGTGAAGGTTCTCTCATTTTGTCACTATTTTTGAGTAGTTTCTTAATAACCATTCCAAAAAATCTAGCTTACTCATGATGCAGAACAATAAAGTTAGAATAAACATATGTTGTCTACAACTAACATCTAATCCTAAATTTATAAAATAATAAAAATTGAGATATATAATTTAGTCGGAAACTTTGTATTTTAGTGGGTACGGTTTTCTCTCTTATGAATGGACTTGAAGTTAAAAATAATTGAAGAGTACAGATAGATTGTTACCTAACTACTATTGTCTTTGATGTTGTTGTATAATCTTATAAATTGTTTATCATAGCCTTCTTTAACTTTTCTTTGGCAAGTTACAATTAATATGTTTTTTCTAACCCATTAAAATCGGAGTTGAAACAAATGAGATATAATCTGCTAAATTTGTGAGAAATTGAAAATCTTATAACTATAGTTTTTGAGATTTGTGCCAACTGTAACTAAAGGAGATTATGCACCAAAACTCTAGCCCTTTTACTTGGTTGTTTAAAATCGTATTGGAACACTATTTTGTCAATAAGATGGTTCCCCTAGGTGAATATATTTTTTAGGCGTAGAATCAATAAATATAATACTCAATATTAGTATGAATTGACTTAATAACTCAAAATAATATTGAAAAGGTTATAACATAACGAAATAATATGTTACTGTCAAAGCAAGTTTTGATAAGAATCATCATCGCACTATCTCACTAATATTTGGTCAAAACCAAGCAAAGTTATGAAAAAAGAAAGTAAACAGAGTTTTCGGTTTCGTGCTTTTGTAAAGAAAACTATACATAACAAACATATATCTAAGGTGGTATGATCTCATACTTTTTTTATCGTTTCCCGAAAAAAGAACTTAAGAAATAAATCATCTAGCTACAGATTTTAAACTTTGAACTTCTAGTCTGTAGATGAAAATTGTGATTTACATTTTATCGCTCTAAGAAAAAACCAATACCTAAAAGCATAATTGAGTAATAAATTCATAAACCTCCTCGCCATTATCAATTTTCATTAACTCATTGAATGAAATTTTTTATTTTGTATCTCTTTTATCGAAAACCTCAAATCCAAAGTTATAATCAAAATTAAGAATTAGTTAATTAAGAATTAGTTAATTAGCTAAGTCACACATCTAACAATTTGTCTCAAACACTTAAACCTATAATATATAAAAAACTAAACCACATAAACACACAACAACCTTACAATAAAATAATACATTAATAAATTAATAATATAATAATTTTTTTTATAAAATATTCCAGCAAAATCTTCTTTTCCATTGGCATAATTAAGTGTCTTCTATTTGGGCATTTATAAATTAAAAAGACAAAAATAATCTTCCTAAATTCACTCAAAAGACTGTAAATTTAGAATTAACCATCTTTCATATA